TTAAAATATTTATAATGAACTTAGCAAAATGATAAGAAAAAAGGATAACATCCCTAAAATTGTGAATTCAACTGTTATGTTTAAATGTCTCTCTCCAGACATTGTTTAAATCCTAAAAAGATGAGCTATAACCATCCCAGTTTTATGTGTGAAATCGTATTTACATGACTTTGCTCACAGGTTAGACCTAAAATGGCTTAAATGTAGCTCGTTACCTTTTTGCCTGGTTTTGTATGTGTGGAGGTTTCAAATTGGACCCTGACACCTCCATCCACACCCATCCTCTCTTTGAATTTTCTGCTACACAGTCTCTTTGCATAGCAGCACACAGCCAATGTGTGTGTTCTGTTAGGCAGGAGTGGAAAACCCAGCGCTCCATTTGTAAATCAGCTAAGAACACAGAGGGTACTGTACACGCTTCAGAAGATCAACCATAACTGGAGCACAGTGGACAACAGCCCAGTGCTTGCTGTTTAAACCAAACTGTGATCACAAACAAAGAGTTCACATGAATCCACACTTGCCAATACTGCAGACCCACACAAACACAGGAAATGGCAAATGAAGGCTAGTGCAACAAAATGCACTGTGAGATAAACAGAGATGAAGATGGATGAACCAGATTATCATACTGCTGATAATGTAGTACTAATAATAAACAAGCCCAACCTGTTATAAGTAAATTGGTTATCCATGGTGTTACGACAATGTTGGTAGGAATACATTGTGATTAAGAGAGCATAACTACAAAGCTCAATAAATTATGTTTATCTCGCGGTCTTACGTGGCTGCCGCAACACAAAATGTGGCCTTGTAAGGGATTGTGAAGTTGGTTTTCCCAATAAAAAATTAAGACTGAAAGTCTGAAACTCACCAGAGTCACTAGAAGAAAAGATTTTGTTAGGCCTAGTAGGGCTGCTCGATTATGGCAAAAATGATAATCACAATTATTTTCATTGAAATTGAGATCTCGATTATTTGACGATATTTATTTAACAATAACAATGTGTTAAATAATGATTTTAAAGATTGTCAAAAAATAATATAAAATAGTGTGCAAATACTGATAACAGTGCAAATGTTTGCAATATAAAAAATAAATGAAAAATGTAAACATCTATGTTTAGTGAACTTTGCAGTGTTGCTCTGTGGTGCAGCTACGACACTGTAGCAAAGTTTACACACT